GGAGCATGGTCCTGTCCCTTCTAGGAGCATGGTCTCCTGCACTGAGGCCCTTGCTGGAATGTGGACCTTACTGTGCATGTTCAACTGCTGTGCAGTGAAAAGAGACCCTAGTCCTTCTGTTTGCGTAGGGCGAAGGTGGCCACTGCTGACACTCAGATGTTTTGTGTGCATTCCGCTCTGCTTCTGACCAGGTGCTAAACGAGTGCTCGAGCTTGACCGGTTTAAGGGGCAGACAGGACAAAACCATTTCCGAGACCTGATTGGCCACGGGTCTGACTACTCGCTGAGTGAAGTGCTGTGGGTCTGTGCCAACCTCTTTAGTGATGTGCAGGTCAAGATGAGTCATAAGAGGATCATGCTGTTCACCAATGATGACGACCCCCACGGCGGTGACAGTGCCAAGGCCAGCCGGGCCAGGACCAAGGCCAGTGATCTCCGTGACACGGGTGGGCATTTGCTTGTTCTCATAATTGGTCCTTAACTTTATTGCTCTGTTTTTTTTTTTGAGGATTGAGCCAGGAAGTGCTGAGGTACATTCCTAGCCCTTTTACTTTTATTTTTTAAACCTTTAAGGTAAGGCCCTTCTTTTCTTTGATTTTGCGGTACTGGGGATTGAACTCAGGACCCTGCGTTTTGCCAGGCAAGCACTTACTCTACTGAGCTATGTCTCCAGCTCAAGATAAGGTCTTGCTAAATTGCCCAGCTGGCCCCAAAGTTATGATCCTCTTGGGCCTGCCTCCTGAGTAGCTGGGATTACAGGCGCATACCACAACTTTCAACTTTTGTTACTTTTCTTTTTAGCTGTTGTCAAACATTTGCTTTTCACCATCCGGAGTAAAATGAAAGCATAAAGTATAAAAGGGCTGTGGACATGGTTCAGTGTGAAGGCTTGGGTTCAAGAATAAAGTGAATGGGCTGGGGAGATAGCTCAGTGGTCTCAGTGCCTGCCTGGCAAGTGCAGGGTGCCAGGTTCGATCCCTGTACTGCATGCCATGCTAGCTCTGGGTCCCTTGGCGTGCCAGCACTAAGTGTTGCACACCTGTAACCCTAGTGCTGGGGAGGCTGAGACAGGAGGATCACTACGAGTCTGAACTGCACAGAAAGACCCTGTTTGTTCAGGGCCTTGAACTCACCATGTGGTCTTTATCAGTTGGCCTCCAACACCACAGTGATCCTCCTGCCTCAGCCTCCTGAGCCAGGAAGTGCTGAGCTACATTCCTAGCCCTTGTACTTATTTTTTAAAAAATTATTTTAATTATCAAAATAATTAAAAAAAACAAATAAATAAGTAAAGTGAAGCCATGGGAAGACACCCATATAACATGAACAGCAAAACTGGGCTTGAGTGGTCTTGCCATACTGTCTAGAAGGTTCTACTAGAGCAATCTAGTCTGACATGCTACCAGGAGAGTATTTGAATAAGTTTTCTAAAGTCATAATACCTGATATATTTAGCCACTTTTTAATTTTATTTTGTAATAGGGTCATGCTGGCATTGCACTCTGAGCAGTCCTCCTGCCTTAGTCTCTCAAGGCCTGGATTATAGGCATGTGTCATTTGATCCCCGGTAGCAAAAAAAGAAATACAGGCATGTGTCACCATGCCTGGCTTAGTCACCTTAAGTCCTGAAAATGTTAATGACCAATTTAGTTTTAGAGAGAGCTTTTGAAATAAAATTGGAGGAGCCAGGCATAGTGGTGTATACCTGTAACCGCAGCATCTGGGAGACTAAGGTTCGTGGATCGCCATGAGTTTGGAGCCAACCTGTGCTACATGGTGAGTTCAAGACTGCTTAACACAACTCCGAAACACTAATAAAATCAAATTTGAGGGCTGATGAGGTAGCTCAGCTGACTTAAGTACCTGCTTAGGCAACTGCAGGGACTGGTACCACATGCCGTGCTGGCCCCAGGTACCAAGCCAGCCACTCAGACAGGGCATGATGGTACATGCCTATAATCCCAGGGCTGGAGAGACTGAAAACAGAAGAGTAACTGACTCTGAGCTGTGTAGTGAAACCCTGTACGAAGAAGTGCATTAAAAAAAAAAGATGGGGCCAGGGGGATGGCTCAGTAGAGTAAGCACTTCCCTGGCAAGTGCAAGGGCCTAAGTTCAATCCCCAGTTCTGCCG